TTCCTCCCAGCCTAACCATGAAATTAGGGACCAAACTCTGGAGTTGTCAATGTTCTTTATGCACTTGAAAGAGGGTAAATAATAGAATTGCTCCTACTTGGCACAATAGAATTATATATATATTTAAATGATTATATATAAATGACTTTAATTTCTTTACAATCCATATAATCATTTTAAAGGGGAAGGATGTTTTCTTAAATTTGAACTCTTCATCACAGAAATTTTCTTTAGTTTTTTCATAAGTTTACATTTGAAGTTTAGAAATTAGTTTAGCAAACTTAGTTCTTTTAGTTACATTTCTGTTAGCATTCATTAAACACATTTTAAATTAACTTTCTTACTTTAATTTTTATAGTTTGAATATTGTGATTTATTTTATTATCATAGGAATTTCCATCTTCCAAACTAAGACTTGATAGTAGTAAACTAGAATTTGCCTAAGGGATCTCTTATTGTGCTTCTCTATGGTATCGATACTGGGGTTTTTAAAGAAAGCCCTATATTACTTGAAGCAATGAGTGCACTTGTGTAGAACCACTAGTGCGTGAACTATTTTAAATATTTTATAATATTTTGATTTTAACTGCTAAATATAAATTGGGTCAAGTTTTTTACCATATTTTGGAAGCAAATTTACTACGTAATTTTGGGACGGGTCAAGCTTTTGGCACTATTACTGGGGATTTAAATTGACATAAAACACCAAGAAAAACAACACACACTAGGGGTGCATCAGTATCCTAATATTTAAATATAATAGCTGCACTTCTATTTGTTTTGGAGTCAAGTTTTTGGCGTTGTTGAAAAGGAAGAAATATAAATAATAAAAATTGAGAATATAACCACACATACATCATAGTACCATTGTAAAATTTGAGATCAAGCTTCTAGTGTCGTTGTCGGGGAGTAAAGAAAATTTTAGCAAAATTTTGATTTAAAAAAATAGGACAGCAAATTTCTATTTTAAGAAAGTCTTATTTAAACTTTTAGATTTGTTATGGGAATATCGTAGTGTTTTTTTTACTAAAATTCATCAAGTGTTTAGACTTTTAAGAGATTATGCCAACCCTACTATAGATGAACTTCATTGTAGTATTCAAAAACCTACTGTAGAGGCTAATTCATTTGAGCTTAAACCTGCTATTATCTAAATGGTATCAAATAATCAATTTGGGGGATCATCAACCGAAGATCCAAATTTACATCTTACAAATTTTCTAGAATTTTGTGCTACATTTAAATATAATGGTGTTTCAGATGATGCTATTAGACTTAGACTTTCTTCATTCGTACTGAGGGATAAGGCTAAGATAGTGTTAATGTGATTAGCACCTGGATCTATCAGAACTTATGGTGATTTAGCGCAGAAATTTATTGTTAAATATTTTCCACCATCAAAAACTACGAAGCTTAAAAATGATATTATATCTTTTTGTTGGCTGGAAGGGGAATCTATTTATGAAGCATGGAAGTGATTTAAAGAACTATTAAGAAAGTGTCTACACCATGTTGTACCAGATTGTTTAATAATTTAAACATTTTACAATGGATTAGTCGGATCTCTTAGATCTATTATTGATGTTGCTTCTGGTGGTTCATTGATGTCAAAATCATTT